TCTTCATTAGTCGCTCAGTAACCCACCTGGTTGCCCAGATGGAAACCCTGACTAGAAGCCCCAGCATCTTCCTTGGCTTCCCATCAAATGAGTTCCTCAATTCTATGGATTTTACTGAAACCGCTCCTCTCATCTCTGTGCACTCTTCCTGTTTTCCCACTGCCTCGCTTTCTCACCGTGTGCCCCGATCAGCCGTCTAGCTGGCCTGCTGGCCTCCTGTCTCCCCACTTCTAACCCTCCCCGCCTCTGGCCCAGTTTTCTCTACCTGATTCTGAGTGATGTATTGGTTTAAACACCTCCAGTGATTCTCGTTATCCGAGACTCGGGCCAAGCTTCTCAGCATACAGTGAAACCTTTGCAGGCTCACTCTAACCTGCTTTTCGGCCCTTTCTCTGGCCCTGTTCTCCTAGAGTCTATGCTTCGACCTCACTCAGGTACCTACAGTTTCCTGTCTGTGCCTCATGCCCGTACCCACAGCGTTTCCTGCACCCAGCATGCTCTGCTCCTTCTCGCCCGCTGATGCCATCCTCAACCCGACGGCCCAGTTCACCCGTTTCCTCACCCGTGTGTACCTTCTGAGGTTTTCATCATCTGCCTCTATCATGGAACTTGTAATTAATTGGTTCCATGCCAGCCATCGGCCACTCGGCTGTGAATGTGTGGAGGGAAGGGATCATTTCATACTTTCATTAAATGGAATACCCTCTGCTTGGCATATAACAGCTTCTTCTGTATGGATTCTTGGTATTCTTATCGTTTCTTGACATATGCTATTATTGGGGCAGATTTAGTGCAGTTAAAAAAAAAAGTGATACCATGACAGGTAAGAGAAAGCCAAGAAAAGCCTTGGTTTAGGGGCACAGTCACAACCCAGAAGTGAACAGTTGTGTCTTTGTCAAGCTGACGTGCATGCACACGGCCTGTCTTCGTCCACTAAGAGAGAAGTCGTATCTGACTATGGACTAGAGAGACCCAGTTCACATCCTGACTCTACAGCTTGCAGGGGTCTGGTTATATCACCTCTCTGAGCCTCTGTTCCCATATTTACAGTGGAGATGATGCCGTATACTTCACAAGGCCCTCGTGAGGATTAAATGAGATCATAAATGTAAAGCACTCAACAGGGCTGGTACGGAGGACATACTCACTGACTGATAGTTTCTGTTTTTAAAAAAATATTTGGAGAATTCCACTGTTCTCTCTGTTGGTGCACGACATGTATGTAACTTTAAGAGGTGCAGAATATTTCAATTTACATCTTAAGATGATACCACCAACACCCTTATGCACATGTCTCAGCCTGCAGTTGTGTGCAAGAAGGTTCTCTCTCCCATCCTTACCTTCCTAACATGTCACAAATTTCTTGAAGGCCGGGACCAGGCTATCCATGGTGAAGGCCCTTTGAGAAACACAGTTTTTGTTTGCGTGGGGGTTTGGGGTTGGTTGTTTTTGAGAATGCGGAAACTTTTAGGAGAAAGTTTGATATTTTTATTTGAATGTTAATAGACTCAATCTTAGCAAAGTAATATGAAGGCTTTGACTTTTAGAAGACACTCATTTGATTCCTGGCCTACTGCCTTAAAAATTTTGCCTGTTAAATCCTAATACCAGTGGAAGGAAGGCCAAGTAACCCGGTAAAGTCCTTGTGCTTTAAGTTTTTCTTCTTGTTGTTTTATAGCCTGTGGATGGGAACCATATTGATTATTTTTCCTAAGTCCTTTTTAAAAGAAATGAAAATGTAGGTTCTTTCTCAGAGTCTAAGTAATGTCACTCTTCTAGGAAGTAAAAACATATTTCTTTGTCTTTTAAGCTTCTTTGGAAATTTTATAAAAATAAAATAGACTGATGACAAGCTAATACAATTTGTACTAAAATGAATTCAATCCACATGTGAATACATCAAATAAAATCAAGGCCTCTTGTTGTTTTCTAAGTACCAGCATATTGTTTGAAAATAACTGCAATATAGGTAACTTTGGTGAAGGGTAAGACAGTACACAATACTGGGGCAGCCAGTACAACTTGACCAAGGCAAGGTCATGGAAACTCCATAGACACGTCCAGACTCCCTGAGGGACCGAATTACTGGGCCAAGGGCTGGGGACCATGGTCTCGGGGAACATCTAGCTCAATTAGCATAACATAGTTTATAAAGAAAATATTCTACCTCCTACTTTGGCGAGTAGCGTCTAGTGTCTTAAAAGCTTGCAAGCGGCCATCTAAGATGTTCTACTGGTCTCACCCATCTGCAGCAAGGGAGAATGGAGAAAACCAAAGACACGAGGGAAAGATTAGTCCAAAGGACTAACGGACCACAACTACAACTGACTGCTCTGACAGGGTTCACAGTAGAGCTGGAGAAAAATGTAGAACAAAATTCTAAACTCACAAAAAAAAAAGCAGACTTACTGGTCTGACAGAGACTGGAGAAACCCCAAGAGTATGGCCCCCGGACACCCTTATAGCTCAGTACTGAAGTCACTCCTGTGGTTCAGCCTTCAGCCAAAGATTAGACAGGCCCATAAAACAAAACAAGACTAAAGGGGCACACCAGCCCAGGCGCAAGGACAAGAAGGCAGGAGAGGACAGGAAAGCTGGTAATGGGCAACCCAAAGTTGAGAAGAGGAGAGTGTTGACATTCATGGAGGTGGCAACCAGTGTCACAAAAAATGTGTATTAATTATTTAATGAGGAAATAATTTGCTCTGTAGGCCCACATCTAAAATACAATTTAAAAAAAAGGTATAAATGTGAAAAATATTAGCTAATATTTACTAATTATCTTGTATAAATTTTTGTTGTCTCATTCACTGTTAGATTTTTTAAATTTTATTTATTTTGTTGTTGAGAAATACACACAACAGAACATACACCAGTTCAGCAGTTTTGACATGTATCATTTAGTGACATTGATACTGATTACATTCTTTGAGTTGGGCAACCATTCTCACCCTCCTTTTCTGACTTGTTCCTCCCCCATTAACATAAACTCACTGTCCCTTAAGCTTCCTATCTAATCTTTCCAGTTGCTAGTTCTTTAACGAGCATAATGCTCAAGGCAGACATTTTTACTAGTTAAGCTAGCCTATTGTTTGGTTTAAAGAAGACTTCAGGGAATGTTTTTGGTTTAAGGTTTAAAGATTATCTCAGGGCAATAGTTTCAGGGGTTCATCCAGCCTGCATGGCTCCAGAAGGTCTGGAGTCCATTAGAATTTGAAATTCTGTTCTGCATTTCCCTCTTTTGATCAGGATTCTTCTATAGAATCTTTGATCAAAATGTTCAGTAATTGTAGTCGGGCACCATCCAGTTCTTCTGGTCTCATGGCAAAGGAAGTAGTTCTTCATGGAGGTAATTAGTCACACCTTCCATATCCTCCTCCTATTCCTGACTCTCCTTTTTATTTTATTTTTGTACTTTAAGTGAAAGTTTATAATTCAAGTTAGTTTCTCATACAAAATTTATACATACCTTGTTATGTGACCCGAATTGCTCTCCCTATACTGTGACAGCACGCTCCTCCTTTCCACCCCTGATTTCCTGTGTCCATTCAACGAGCTCGTGACCCTCTCTGCCTTCTCATCTCACCTCTGGACAGGAGCTGCCCATTTCTGACTCTCCTTCTTCCTCTGTTATAATTGAGGTCATACAATATTTGTCCTTTTGTGATTGACTTACTTCACTCAGCATAACTGTAAAATTTTGCTCCATATTGTAGCATGTAACAGGAATGTATCAAGATTTCATTTCCCCGGCTGGCTGAGCAGCGTTCCATTGTGTGTATGCACCACATTTTGTTTATCCATCATCTGTTGATGGCGTTTAGGTTGTCTCCACCTTTTGGCTGTTGTGTCACTGCTAGTTTTGAAGCTTATACTTTGGAAGCCACCCACCCAGGCAAACTGACAAGAAGCACTGATGTGCTGCATGTTTTACTGAAGGAGCTTATTGGAATCTGTATTTTTTTCTGCCTTACTGTTCCACAAGTCGACATTAGCAATTATTGTTCATTTCGCTTTTTGGAAAATGCTTTGGTCCCCGTGCCATAGATTTTTTTAAAAGATTTTCCCACCACCTCAGCCCTGGACAGTGAGTGGGCTCTAGGGCGGTGCTTCTCAATTTTTACTGTGCGTTTGAATCCTCTGAAGATCTTGTTAAAGTGCAGATTGGATTGGAGGAGCGGTTGGTGAGACTCTGCGTTTCTCGTAAGACGATGTCAGTGCTCCAGGTCTCTGGGCCACCTTTTGAGTGGCCAGGCTGTCAGTGGAAACCTATTTCAAATACCTGAGCTTGATGTTCTGTTAAAATTGGGTACAGTAGAGGGTGGCCAGATGAAATACTGAGCGCTTAGGGTGCCCCATGCAATATTTAAGACATACTTCTACTAAAAAATTATTCATTGTTTATCTGAAATTCAAATTAAAGCAGGCATCTCTCTCTCTGTGTGTCTCATACATGCACACGCTGGTAAAGCTGGCAGCCCTTAATTGCAATCTAAATAAAATATGAAGACATTTAAATACCATACATATTATTAGATTTAAAATGCTGTGATTATTTTTATTTTGAGAGAAAGGGCACGTAGAATCAAGTTTATTTTTACTTGTTTTGTAAACATTTATTTAGGTATTTTGTTCATGTGCTTTCAATATAATAGAATATGTAAGCTTGACCACCACCCTGTATCTAGGGAATTCTGGAACAACAATGAAGTCTGTATGGTCTAAATGTACCTGAAGGTAGAGAAATTCCCTATAGTATCCATGTTTTAAGCCAAACACTTCAAGCAATGAGTGTTAATATGATAGATTTAAATTTAGACAACATTTTTATAGGGTTTTTTTTCCCCTCCCTTGGGTCTTTTTAACTTAGTGAGTTGGTAGGTACTGCATACTGTTGGTATTTTCAGACACTGCGTAATAGAATTATATGAGGATAATCTGTTGTCTGCTGAAGTATATGGAAGAAAGCCTAAATGCTTTTGTTTTCTTTTTCTTTTCAGATTTTTTACAGAGCTGGAAGCAAGGCATCAGAATAATATCTTCATTGATGATATAAGTGACATTGTAGAAAAACACACAGCATCCACATTTGACCCGTATGTGAAATATTGCACAAACGAAGTCTATCAACAAAGGACGCTGCAGAAATTGTTGTAAGCAATGCTGAATGTTACAGATTCAGTAGTCTAACCTAGTTTTAATTAGGTCACATTGATTGAAATGAATTGATCTCTTAAATTATAGTTAGAAAAGCCTCTTGATGGACTGTTTCCCAGGGGGGAAATATTTAAGAGTAATGCTTTCAGCGTGAGAGTAGAAAGATCTAGTCTGTGCAGAATTTTCTCTGGATAGCAGTTATGAAATCATAGTTGTTGTTTGCTTTTTTAAGTTTCTGAAAGATACTGGGGTGATCGTCACTTAAAATCTCCCAGCTTTCTTAGGTGTTAACTGATGCAGGGCTGGGTAGCATTTCATTCTGTTATACACGAGGTCACCGTGAGTCAGAGTCAGCGCAGCGACAGCTCACTAACAACACTGACAGTTAAGAGGTTCACCAGAAGGCAAGAGAGGGTTCTTCAATGAGTCCAGCTAGAATCTAGGGACCCAGGGTTTTTTCTACTGTTCTGATCTTCTGCCGTTCAAATGGCTATTATATTGTTATAGGAATTACTGATTTCTCCCCCTTCTGGGTAGTTAGGGATGATGAGAGGAGGCAAGATGTGAAGGAAAACAAATGAAAAAATATTCTTGAAGATTTTAATTATGCCACAAAAAAGAGTTAAGCATTAAATTTCACTTGCACCTTTACCCATTGTCCTATGTCATTTACTGAGAGTTTTGGCTTGATACATGCATGCCATTTGTATCTTTAATGGCAGAAAGATATGGCAGTCTGCTTCCGTAAAGATTTCAGCCTTGGAAACCCTATGGGGCAGTTCTCCTGTGTCCTACAGGGTCGTTATGAGTTGGAATTGACTCAACGGCAGTGGGTTTTGGGTTTTGTGTCTTTAAAAGTGTTGGCAATTGTTCGGTAAATGTCTGGCTTGTTTTATTTCCCAGGGGCCTTGTTTGTCATTGCCATGAGTAGCTGTTTTGTTTTATGGCACGGGTGTACACTACTGTGAACTTATTTCGGGGGCTTAGAGGCTGTTATTATTCTCATATCCTCCCGTGAGTTGTGGCATTTATGGCCAGACCATGGAGCTCTGGTCAGCCTGCGTGCAGTGTGTGAGACCCCTGTGGAAGGATAGTGGTCGGGGATGATGACCTCCCAGCTGCCTGGAGAACTATAACCAGTTAAAGCCTCCCCGGTTGGTGAGAAGGGCTGATGATGCCCCCTCTCCCTCTTGCATCCTCATGAAACTCTTGTATGGGCAGGGTGGGAACACCCACAGCTGCCAACCTCAGATGAAGTTTTCTTACAAAGCAGCACCTAGACATTGTGGGATGGATAAGGGTAGGGCGGTCCCGTGCATTGTAGGATGGTTAGCAGCATCTCTGGTCTCTACCTACTATATGCCAGCAGCAACCCCCACCCCAGTTGTGACAACCACAGATGTGTCCAGACATTGCCAAATGTCCCCTGCCTGTGGCTCGATACCATTAAGTCATTTCCAACTCATAACGACCTTATAGGACAGGGTAGAACTGCCCCATAGAGTTTCCAAGGAGTGGCTGGTGGATTTGAACTGCTGACCTTTTGGTTAGCAGCCGTAGCACTTAACCACTGTGCCATCAGGTTTGGGAAAAGTCACACCTCCTTTCTTTCCTCCCTTTCTCCTCCTCCTCCCTTTGGGAACCACTGGTATGAAAAGATGGACGTTGCTCTTTAATTGTTGTTGTTAGGTGCTGTGGAGCCAGCTCCGACTCACAGCGACCCCACGTACAACAGACTGAAGTGCTGCCTGGTCCTGCGCCATCCTCACAATTGTTGTTAGGCTTGAGCCCTTCCTTGTAATTGTCAGAGAGTACAGATTGCATGTTGGAAAGCAAAGCCTTAAAAGCTAAATTTGATTTTCGTTTTGTTTTGCGAGGATTTAAAAGTGTGAATAGGTACTGCTGTACATTGTTTAACTCTAAAAATAAAGCTTTTCATCTAAATTAGCTTAATGATGTCATCATTTGGGCCCCCACATGGAAATCAGTATGTGTGTTTTCAGGGGCTTCTTTGCAGTTGATGTGAATTTACGGTTGGAGTAGTGACTCTGAACTTCAGCTGCACATTAGAAATGCCTCGGACACTTTGAAAACAGGCAGACAGGGCTCATCCACACTATTTAATCAAACTCTTTGTGGGGGAGGGCAGGGAGCTGGATGATCTTAACACGCAACTGGATTGGAGTTTGATTTTTTTTTTTAATAAAAATCTTTTCAATGCTAGCAGGGAAAAGAAACCTAAAACTCTTCCATTTGAGGAAATAAAACGTTTCTGTGTGACTTAATTTGCTGTTCTGGGTGTTTCCTAATTTATTTTTAGCAGCCTTGATCCAAATCATCTAATTTTTGAAATACATTAAAAATGTCCACCACTGCTACCTCTCTGCTTTCTGGGCGTTCTCTTCAGGGCATGAGAATACGGTACCCCTACCACCACCTCCCTTCTCTCTTGCTACCCTCTCCCCAATTCCCCTCAACCCTCCAGCCCCCTCTGTCTTTGCTAATTATTCAGTCTATTACTCGGCAAGTTGGGGGCCTTTCTGAGCTTCCATTCTCTTCACGGAGTCCCTAGCTGACGTGGTGCCACATGAGACAGTGCGTGTTGGAGCACCTTATCTTGCTGAGTTCATGCAAATGCCGTGGCAGGGCCGTCACTGTGTGTCACTGAGAGGAGAAGAAATGTTCTGGCTGACGGGGTCAGAAGATTTTCTGTCTTAGAAAGAGGACTGTTATGGTGCCTGGCTACCACCATCGACTACTCTGACAGGGATCACGGTTGAGGGTCCCTGACAGAGCAGGAGAAAAATGTAGAACAAAAGTCAAATCCACGAAAAAAATGACCAGACTTACTGGTCTGACAGAGACTGGAGGAACCTCCAAGACTATGGCCCCGCACACCCTACTAACTCGGAACAGAAGCCACTCCCCAAGTCCGCCTTTCAGCTAAGGATTAGGCAGGCCTGTAAGACAAACAATAACAGGTGAGGAACGTGCTTCTTAGTTCAGAAAAGTATATGAGACCAAATGGGCAACACCTGCCCAAAAGCAAAGACGAGAAGGCAGGAAGGGATGGGAAAACTGGACGAATGGATACGGGGAACCCGGAGTGGAAAGAGGGAGAGGCTGACGCATTGCGGAGATTGCAACCAATGTCACAGAACAATTTATGTATAAATTTTTGAATGAGGAACTAATTTTGCGCCATAAACTTTCATCTAAAGCACAATAAAATTAAAACAGAAAAAAAGAAAGAGGACTGTTGAAAAAGGCCAAAATAAGTAAATAAGTCCAGTCTGACTGACATTGCTTTCTTAGATCAGTGCCGAGGGCTAGAGGAGAGACTTAAAGCATATCATTTGTTATCTTAGGAATGCAATGTGTTTATAGTTTATCAGATATGACATCTACTATGTGTATTAATTGATAGATTTCCCATTATGATACCATTGCCTCTGCATTTCTTTACTTTCCACTTTCATAAATTTCTAGCTCACACATTTCTGTCTTACTGTTCACGTTGGTATCTTAAAATCACATCTTATATTCGGCCTCAGCTATAAGGTAGACATGTTTGCCTGCCTGTGTAATTATGTGTTTATGTTGTTTTCAGGTACTTAAACATCGTTGATAATGTGTGAATTTATTACAGTATTTTGTAACCCATTTTGCTTGCTTCCTAACTTTGAGGAGGAAATATTTTGAAGTTGTGTTTGTTTCTTTTTCCCCAGAGCCACTAATCCATCCTTTAAGGAAGTATTATCGCGGATTGAGACCCACGAAGACTGCAGGAATTTACCCATGATCTCCTTCCTCATTCTCCCCATGCAGAGAGTCACCCGCCTTCCCCTGCTGATGGATGTAAGAGATGACCTCTGGCTTTTTCTTCTGTGCATACCTGTGCTGCTATAAATCTAAGAAAATTATTCTTATTCTACTTAAATTGATGCATATCTCTTCTATAAAATACCCCAACTAAGTGAGAAGGTGCTGTTTGTTTGGAAGGTGCTGTTTGTGGCTCAAGCAGTTTGCGATCAGCTTCTAACCTAAAGGTTGTCAGTTCGAACCCACCCTGTAGCTCTGTGGAAGAAAGGCCTGGCCAACTGCTTCTGTAAAGATTATAGCCAAGAAAACCCTATGGGACAGTTCTACTCTGTAACACATGGGGGTTGCCGTGAGTCCAGGGCTGACTCGACAGCAGCCAATAGGAAGTGAGAAGGTGCTGTTTGGTTGGAAACTCTCACCTGTGTCTGATATATTGGGCAGTATCTTTAATTTAGGCTTGTGTGGTCACTTTGAAGAATTTAGATTACACCACCCACTTACTCCGCAGTTTTTGAAATGGGAAGAATATTGGCTTTTGAAGTCATGAGACCAAGATTCCATTTCTGGCCGAGCCACTAACGAGGCATATGGCCTTGGGAAAGTTACTTAATCTCTTTGGGTGTCCATTTTCTGAGGTTATTCACTAAGATCCCTCCTACCTGTGGTTTGCCACGATGCTGTGGTGCCGCCGTTCCACACAGGATTGAAACTATTTCGGCATTACAAGGCATCAGCTTGGTCCTGTTGTGCATTGTGCCAAGTGGCTGAGAAGAGTTCAGCGTCCTTCTGATCGTAGGGAATGTTCACGAAGAAAACAAGTATTTGACTTTGATCAATGGCAGGACATGGCTGGGGGGAGAAGTGAGTAGAGACTAGTGTGAAGTGCAGCTGGGAAGGCAGCCAGGAGGCCCTGCACACGGCCATGCAGGGGCAGCGTGAGAGAGCAGCAGGGTGGCCTGACACAGGTCTGCTCCAGCTGTGGGCCAGGCAGTATCTTCCGGATCACATCAGAATATTTTGTGATAATTTTACTTTAAAATTGAATCATAGCATTACTATAATGCCAGCTTTTACGTACTTGATTTTCACAAATCAATCAAAACGCAAAACAAAAATATAGTAATAGAAGGACTGAATACGGTTAGAAAATAAATTCTGTTTTCTATATTCCATCGTAAATTGCAGGATGTTCGAAAAGAACACTGAACTTTCGAAATGAATAGGAATATATGATCGTGGTCATGTAATACTCTGCTGCACAGCATGGGGAGATTCTGGTGGTGGGTCCAGAATTTTCAGCACCTCGCTGCTGTCCGAGCTCACCTCAACCTACCATCATTACACTCTTCCCCATCCATCATCTGTGATTCAGGAACCTCCCCCTGCCTGAGTATTTTAAGAAACTTGCAGTTGTGAAAAATTAGCTGCCTTTTTTTTTTTTTTGAGACCATGTCTAAGAATAGAATCTAGTCAGGTTATCAAAGCCAAATTCTGGCTTAAAAAAGGTTTACTTCATGTGACTTATAAGACTTGTTAAGAATACGAAACTTTGATCCGTAAGGCAAATATTATTTGAAATGTTCCTCTTTTCTATGAGAAATGAGTTCTTTCTAAATGTATCATTTCCTGAAGTGTTGGAGTTAATGAATTTTTAGGGTTCCATCTTTCTTGTATGAAAAAAAAAAAAACTTTTTTTTTTAAATGCATCATTTTCCATAATGTTAGACTTTTGAATTTTCAGGGTAGGTTCTTTCTTTTTCTCTTAAAAATGTGCATTTTAGCCACGTTTCCTTCTATATGCGCTGTGATCACCTAGCATTTTTTATTGTCTTCTCTTTAATTTGGAGAAAGTTACATAAGTAGGATGGGACTCACAATGTCTGATATATATCATGTCATATGATGTTGGGTATTTGTGCCTTGATTTCCCAGTGGGCTCTGAAGGTTTATGGGTCACAGACCCCTTTGAGATTGTGAGTAAAGCTGTGGTCACTCTCCCTACAAAGTTCATGTTTGTACAAAATGTTATATAAATTTTGGCGTGTGCATAGACACCGTGGACTCTAATGAAGGGTGCCTGCTGCCAGGGACATAAACCAGTATTTTTTCAGACTGTGTCAGTGCCCCTTAGTGGGTTGTCATGGTTTCAATTGTGTCCCCCAAAATACGTGTCAACTTGGCTAGGCTGTGATTCCCAGTACTGTGAGATTGTCCACCATTTTGTCATCTGATGTGATTTCCTATGTGTTGTAAATCCTACCTCTCTGTTTATGAGGCAGGATTAGAGGTAGTTATGTTAATGAGGCGGGACTCAGTCTACAAGATTAGTTTGTGTCTTAAGTCAGTCTCTTTTGAGATATAGAATAATGAGAAGCAGAGAGACAAGGGGACCTCATACCACCAAGAAGCGAGAGCCAGAAGAATAGCGTGTCCTTTGGACCCGGGATCTCTGTGCTGAGAAACTTCCAGACCAGGGGAGGATTGATGACAAGGACCTTCCGCTAGAGCCAACAGAGAGACAAAGCCTTCCCCTGGAGCTGATGCCCTGAATTCGGACTTCTAGCCTCTTAGACTGTGAGAGAATAAATTTTTCCTTGTTAAAGCCACCCACTTGTGGTATTTCTGTTACAGCAGCACTAGATGACTAAAACGTGGGTCATGAAATGAATTGTTAAATCATGAGCAGCATTAAAAAAAAAGAAATAGAGTAAAACATATTAATGTACATGGTTCATGATGTGGTTAAATATTAAATACAAATAAAATCTTGTTTCATTTATGCATGCAGCAGTGTACAATCTGTTTTGTGCAATAGGTCACAGACAGGAAAATTTTAGAGCTATTAATAGAAGCACACAGATGATACCCTCTGTGCTTCTCATGTATCACATGTAACAAGCCTGATGCCTGACATCCTGGCTTCTAACCCTGGTGGTAGTCTACACTTAAGGGACCAGTGGTTTGCTAGCTGCTAACTGCCTTCCGCCTCTGCCAGGTGCCTGTTGCTATAATCTGTTTGCCGTAAGTGAGAACCTAGCCACGTAGGCAGAATCCACACATACTGAAAATATTGTCTTGTCAGTTTTAATTCATTGGGGGATGCAGTTAAACTTGATCACTGAAACATCTGTAACAAGGAAAGGGGCTCTGTTGGCTTTGAATGTTATGTTTTTGCAAGTTATATGTACGTTGGTTTACCGTGAATTGACTCTCTTTGAACTCGGTTTTACCATCACAGGTGAAATTCGGCAGTATAAACATATCAAGGAAGACCTAGCTGCCCTTTTCTTAATCCTTTTATTCATCTTGTGTCATCTTCAAATGTAGTTACCACTAATGATGATGATAGTGATGAGGATACTTAACGTAACTCTCACCGAGTATTGAGGGCCGACTGTATGCTGGGACTTAGGAGGAACTTCTGCGTGCGTTTTCTCATTTAACCCTTGCAACAACCTTGTGACATAGTTGGCGTTAACCCGATTTTACAGACGAGGGAACTGAGGCTTCTAGAGACCGGGTAGATGACGTGCCCAAGGTCAAAAAAGGGGAAAATCTGGGATTTGAAACTACGTTCTGCCACCTTTGAAGTCTGTCCTCTAACTTCACCATTGTCTGGGTTTACTAGGGTCCTGTGTGTTTAAAGATTATTTCCTAGTTTTGTAATTGGACTTTGATGTCATCATCACACTCACTCCTTAATATTGCGTTCAGCTTTGTAAGTTTACTGTAAGAGGATACAGCTAGACATGGATCTTATTTTACTTAATAAAACAAATCAATTGATTTCATTCACTTTTGCTTCTTTGCAGACCATCTGTCAAAAAACTCCCAAGGACTCTCCGAAGTACGAAGTCTGCAAAAGGGCCTTAAAGGAAGTAAGCAAGGTAACTGCTGAACGGTTGGTCAGACAGGAAACCACTCCGACACCTCGAAAGAGACTGCGTCTTGGTTTGATGCTGAGAGTTAGTAGATTCTCACAGCCATTTGCGTGGTATTCTTTAGGTGGTTAAAAAACGAAATGATGTTTGCCATACTCAGATGAAGTTGATATTTTTGCTGCTTCAGACAGTTTTGCTTTAAGGGCCTATAGATGTGTCAGCTTTTGTGTTTGAACAGCTAGTCATTCATTCTTGCATTCAACAAACATTATTGAGTACCAACTCCTGTGCCAGGCACGGTGCCAGCCCCTGAGAATCGGTTGATGAATAAGACATATACGGTCACTACCCTGGTGGAACTTTCAGTGTGAATGGGCAAGCCAGACATTAAATGAGAATTACACCAAGGGTGGTGAGTGACATGATAGCGACGTACATAGTGATATTTAGGTGGAGTCCTAAGGCAAGAGTAGGTGTGAGCTGGGAACTGGGGGAAGAAGAGTGTCTTGGTTATGGGTAGGGGCCCAAAGACAAGAGAGTGTTTGGAGAATTTGAAGAACTGGAATGTTCTTCATGTGACTAGTCTAGGAGAGAGAGTAGTGGGGAGTCAGCCATGAGGGGTTTTGTCCACGTTAGGGAATTGTGGATCTATCCTAAGTTGATGTTGAAGCTATGAAGTCATGCACTACAAAGGCTGCTATGGGGTTGGGGCTAGGTATGAGGCTTTCGAGTTGATTCAGCAAGAGATGGTAATGGCTTAAACCAATGTGTATAGAAGTAAGATAGAATTAGACCTATATACCGGGGAGGTAGACTTGGAGATAGATTGAGTGAGGACATTTGGGGACCACAGTGAAGAGAATATAGTCTCTGGCTAGGTAGATGTTTTTATTTATCTCTACAGTAAGAACATGGGAGAAACTGATGCGCTCCATTGGGAACATGTCCTTGAGATTCCTGTAGAACATCCTAGTTGGCTGAATAAACAGGTCAGGAGCTCAGAGAGGAGATGAACTGGGGACATGGGTTGGGGAATCACAGCATGTGGATGGTATCTGAAGCCAGAAGAGTGGATGAGATGACCCAGGGAGAGTGTGTGGAATGAGAAGAGCAGTGATCTGAGACTCAGCGGTGAAGAGCACCAGCATTCAAGCAACAGCAACAACATAGCCAAAGAAAACCATAGCCAGAAAAAAAAAGCCAGAGGAAAAGAAAACCATGGTGGACTGGCATACGGCAGGTGATTTGATGGAAGGAAGGTCAACTCAGTTGAATGCTCCTGAAAGATAAAGTGAGATGAGGATTGAGGCATTCAGTGGGTTCATAGACAGGTAGGCTGCGTCCTTGCAGCGGTGGGTGTGGAAGCAGATTGGAGTGTGTTGAGGGAGTGGGAGGTGCGAAACTGCAGCCACCAGCAAGTATAGCCAGCTGTTTCAAGAAGCTGGCTGTGAAGGGAAGGACGGAGGGCTGTGCTTTTGGTTTTTTTTAAAGATGAGGAAAGCATGTTTGTGTTTAGATGCTAGTGGGAACATCTAGCTCAAGGAAGCAGTAGAAGGTGTAAGAGTGAGGATAACTGTGCGAGGCAGACACAGGGATCAAAGATAATGACGGCATTAGAAGCTTCCTAAGCTTCTTGAGCTGCGTGCCAGCTTTATGAGCCTGACATGTTTTTGCGTCATTTTACTGTGAAATACTGTTTCTTTTCATCGACTTTAAATTGACTCAGAATTTTACTTATCCTCATCCTTGCCGACGATAACTGCAGAGTTGTGGGTTTTATGAGCCAGTTGCTTATTTTCCCACCACACGTTTTTATACAAACAAGAAGTCTATCTGTGATCCGTATGAATTCATCTCTTGTCCTGCCAGTCTTCTGAATACTTCAGGGAAACGCCAAGCAAAGGGGCCTAGACTGGCAGCTGTGAAGTTGCCTGAGGTCGTGTTGTGAATGGGCCCCTCCTCTGGGACCCCAGATCCTCAAAGAGAAGTGAGGGAGCAGAGAGTCTGTAGGAGAAGCTGCTGGAGAAGTCCTAACCTTGGGCTTGAAAGAGATTTTGTCGCACTGTGCTTGATTGTTACTGAGATTACTGAGTACTGATTACTGAGTTACTGAGATTTTGGAACCCTGGTGGCGCAGTGGTTAAGAGCTCGGCTGCTAACCAAAAGGTCTGCGGTTCAAATCCACCAGGCGCTCCTTGGAAACCCTATGGGGCAGTTCTACTGCGTCCCGTAGGGTCGCTATGAGTCGGAATCGACTCGATAGCAATGGCTTTTTTTTGGTTTTTGGTTACTGAGACTAACATAGATGGAAGAATAAGAATTCAGGCAGAAGAGAAAAGAGGAAAGGTTGGTTTTAAAAGTGAACCCAGGAATATCATCTAAAGTTTTTCAAGAATTTCACATCTGTTACAGTGTGACTGCTGTGTTCTTCAGGCACCTCTTTTTCACTTGATTGAGAACCAGGCAGTTTAGGGAAGGCTGGCAGAAATGGTAATGGACCCGTAAATTGTCTTACTTTATTGATACTGTAAGTGTATAAGCTTAGAAAAGGCTATCTGTGAAGAAGCGCTGTCCCTGTGACTGATTTGCTCTGTAGGACGGCATTTCTCTGTCTCAGCACGAGCCATGAATATCACAATATGTTCGCCCGTCTCCTGGTGTAACGTGGGACTGAAGTCATTCATTAATATAGCCAGCTCAGGAATGAATCTTCTGTTTTATTTGTGAAGATTGCTTATTGGGTTTTATAGATTCTGGGAAAACAGTATCAGTGTTTTCAGCAGAAATGATTGTATATATAGAGAGAGCATTTATGATTTGAAATTAGAATCAGAATTTCTCATTTGCTTTATCTGAAATTAGAGAAATTGGGAGCTCCCAGTATTTATTTTAGAGTTATATTTGGTATGTTAAGGCCCAGGTTTTTAGAACTAGACTCCATGTAAGGCTGTGGGCAAGTCTCCTTACACAGTTACTCATTCTTGGAAAAAAAAATGAGTGATGCCTTTTTTGGTCGTTGAAGTCCTAATGCGGTTTATTTGCATGGTATGAGTAATACTTGGGCAGAATGGCGTGTATGTGCTGCCGAAATGACTGTGGCAGTTGATTGGTTTGGGGCCTCAGAAAAGGCTTGCTGGCCTGATTAAACAACTCAAAAGCAGGGAAGATGTTTTTATTGAATGAAAACGTGTTTACTTCTCGATTTTCTGCGACATGCTGGAAAGGCAGGTGGGAGAAGGGAGATTTCCAGGGAACCTGAGAGGCGAGCTTGTCCAGAGGGTTCTCTGATGTGTAAGGAGTAGGGGTGGAGAGATGCCTTCTTACTTCCTAATGAAATCTTCCCTGCTGTTTTCTCTCTCCTGAAAAGACAATAAGTGCCTTAATTTAACCCTTACCTCATAAAAGTCTACTTAACATTTGGGGCTAGTATTAAGTTACAGTCTTTTCTCCTAGAGGCAAAATAATTAAGGCTTCTTTAATCTTTTCCCATAAATCTGATGTTGTTTTGAGCATCTCCTGTCATCCAGCCGCCTGGAGATATGTATCACTGTTATCATCTAGGCACATGGTTCCCGTATTTATTATTTAAATCAAATTTTATAAAGGCCTGTAAAATGAAGCCTTTTTTAATGGGACATTTTCTTTCTGTGCATTTTTTTTTTCATATTTGAGGTCACCCATAAGGTTTATATTAGTCTATATTATGTTTTTTTCACTAACATTATAATGGTTATTTTCTGATCTCATTAATTTTCGTAAGTAAATGTTCCTATGTTTTTCTTATTGTAAAAGTAATTAGACCAAAAGAGGGATAATAGTCACGGCTGACAAGAGAGTTGGATTTGAGCATTCCCACACACTTTTAGCAGAAGTAAAAATTGGTACAGCCTTTTTGGAAGGCAGTTTGGAGTATTTAGCAAAGTCAAAAATACACATGGTATTTGATGCAAAAATTTCACTTCTTAGAACCTTACGAATGATCATAGAATGCTCAAGTGTTCAAGGCTGTTTCTTTTCACCTTGTTTACAAGAGCGAAAAACAAAGAGGAGGAAAGTATCACCCTAAATGTTTCCAGTAAGGCAATCATGCTGTTATGCTATATCCTGTACTAGCCTGTGGTATCCTGTACTTACTGTTGCTGTCGAGTTGAATCCGACTCATAGCGACCGTAGAGGACAGAATAATACCACCCTATAGGGTTTCCAAGGAGTGGCAGGTGGATTCGAACTGCCGACCTTTTGGTTAGTAGCCAAGCTTTAACCACAGCGCCACCAGGGCTCCATCTGACACATAGTAGGTGCTAAATAAACGATTTCTTCAATGAGTGATACATTTATAAGGGAAGTACTGTTAGTGAAAATAATCAGGTCATAGACAAACATAGAACAGCGTGTTCCCAAAAATGAAAGAAAAATTTCTGCGCATGTGTGTTTTTATGTTTATATAAGCGTAAGGGGGAGGAAAAAAAAAAAAAGAAAGCCTATAACCCATCCTGTTAACAGTTACCTCGGGGGAACAGAGCAGGTCACGATCTTTCAGGTCTATTTTATTTACTTCTGTATTATCATTATTATTTTCTTTTACAGTGGGCATGCATTAATTACCTGACAAAGCGGTAATAAAAATAAATCCGATTAGAATCTCCAGCCTTTATTTTTAACAATCATATTTCTCTTTTAGGCCAGTGAGCCTTGTATGGATATATTTTTTGCAGGTTTTCCAGTTAATAAGAAATAGGAAATACAAAGTTTGTTTTGATTTAGATCGGTGAACTAAGTATTCATCAAGGCACTGAATGCATTTGATCTGTAGATAATTCAGGGCTTCTCATTAAACTGAATTTCTCTTAGCTTGGCCATCCTTGAAGAATGGTTAGCCACCAGGCTCTGGCCAAGGTTTTCCTCCTTCAGGGCTGTTTGCTGTTAGGGCTGAATTACCCAGTAAGCAAGGTAAGCATGGCTTCACTTGTGTGTACTTACTTATCCGTAGTGAACAAGATGTGGTGAGAAACATGTGAAACTGTTCACTACAGATTAGTAAGTATGCACAGGTGAAGCCATGCTTACCTCGTTTACTGGGTCATCCGTCCCTGACAGGGATTGTAAATTTAAAAAGAGAGTTCAGTTCTCTAGGAAGGTGCTTTGGGGTTGGGAGAGAGACAGATGTCAGCCATACCTAGAAGCAGAAGCTTTGATGAGGTGAAAAAATGAGAAATTGTTTATTACGGATTAGTAAGTAAGCACAAATAAGTCCGTGCTTACCTGCCGCGTGCATCTCTCTTTGCTTACAATTTGCCTTAAAAGTTGGTTGTCTGTCTGAAACTGCTCTGGTTTGAAAGTGGGGTGAAGGGGGCTGCTCGTCTTGAGGTTGGGGGGGGGGTCCCCCCCGGGTCACGTGAGGAGGGAGGGGCCAAGAAAAGGAGCAGGAAGGACCGAGATGGGGGTGGAGGTAGGCTGGTGTGAGAAGAGGACTTGCAGCGTATGTGTCCCTAAAAGTTTTCAGGACTTTTTATGCCCCCGGTCTTCACTTCTCTTATCACACCACTTCTAACTGGACATAGCGTCTTAATTGTGTAAAATGGCATGTTCTTTAACTCCCTGTGTGCTAAGCATTTCCCAGGAGAGATTCGCCTTTGGAAGCGAGGTCACGCGCCTTGATCTACTAACCCTCCTCCTTGTTCTGTCTTCCCAGTTGGTTCGACTGTGCAATGAAGGAGCCCGGAAAATGGAAAGGACTGAAATGATGTACACAATTAACTCCCAGCTGGAATTTAAAATCAAGGTATCCGCGTGCCTCTTCATAACCAGTATTATTACAGACGATTGGTTAACTCTTATGTAAATGAGGAGAGATGGTTGAGGCTAATTTGCTTTTCAAAGAAGGGCCATCAGTTGATAAGAGAGAGGCTGCCAGATGAGGAGCAGATATTTCAGGCACTTCAGCTTTGGCTCACCCAGGTCTGATCTGAGTGACCTTTCTCCAGGCCACAAGTAAAGAAGTTGAGGCATTATCTAAGAAGCACAACTCTTTTCCTAGGAAGACACCAAATGTGGGGAAGCAGATCGTTAAAATAATAGAATTTTAGAATTGAAAGGAACCTATTAGATTTCTTCAGTACTTCTCAAAGTCTCTCCCAAAACAGTGGTATCCCATGAGTTGAACTGTGGTGTTCTTCTAACTCAAACAAGGACCCTTCTTGTCCAGTTTGCAAAAAAAGATTGTTAATGAATGGTTCATGTCCATTTGTTTCTCCTCCTTAACTCGTTCTTGAATATGTGCTGCCCGTTCCCGCCGGTCTGGTACTGGTTCTGCTCATGAGCGGTCAGCAGAAGCTCATGTGGACCAGGCCCTGTGCACTAGGAGGAGGAGCTGGGTAAGGTCAGTTCAGGGCCATAGGAAAAGCAACACAATCGGGAAAATAGTACGTAACTGATGAAAATCCTTCTTATAGAAGGCCTTTATAAAGTTATGAAGCGTATGAAATCATATGTAATCATATGCAAACATATATAATCCCTTGGATACAGCCTTTTCTCTGAGATTATGATGAATTATTTTGGGAGAACTTGATTTTCACAGCCAGAAACTGGCGTGATGCTTTCGGGGTGAACTCCCATGGGAAAAATTACCATAAACTTAAGAATAGGTGTTCTTAACCCTCTTATTTCCTCCCTAATGCCTCCAGTTTCTTTTAACTATTTTTAATCATTTTTCCCTGAAAAGAAGGGCATTTGGTTGTACTACACTCCTGTGTTTTGCGTGTGCAAGAAATTTTGCTTATCTTATGGATATAGTCTTCAACGTCAGATTTTGGGCAGTAAGCATTTCTGGTATCTTAAAAAGAGAGAGATGGTGAGAGTGCTCACGGGCAAGGATTATTCTGTGATTTTTTTCCAGTTGGCTTATATGAGACTGAATAAAGAAAAGCAGTATGTGATTCCTTGGATACAACCTTTTCTATGGGTTATCATGGATTATTTTGGAAGAATTTGATTTTCACAGCCAGAAAATGGCATGATGCTTTCTTTCAGGGATGAACTTCCATGGGAAAAATTACCATAAACTTAAGAACAAGTGGTCTCAAGAATATGACTGAGTAGATAACCAGTAGACAAAACAGAAGTTTGTGGGTTTGTTTTTTTTCCTTTCTGTCTCTTACCTAAAGCCTTTTTTGTTCATAAGGCAAATGTAGACTTTCATATTTGTCTCCTGTCAACCACAGTTATCTGTGTTTTTCAGGATGTTTAGATTCTGTTTTGAGATATTTAAAATAACTCTAGTTGACACTGATAGATTTGTTTACTAGGCTTTTCAATTTTAAGTGACACCCTATCTTCTTTTTCTGTTGAGAGTTATTTGAAGGGTCATAATTTTTGGTGGACCCAATAACATTTTCTCAGGGAGTTTTTGTTGACATATATTGGAAAATTAACAGTTTTTATGTTGGAAATAAATTGTTCTTTTTCATTTACTCCTGGAGAATGCCCTGCACTTCTCTGATTATATTTTATATTACATCTTTTTTTTCCCTGGGTGGTGCAAATGGTTCCTGGGCTCGGCTGATAATCGAAAGGTTGGTGGTTTGAGTTTACCCAGAGGTGCCTTGGAAGAACGGCCTGGTGGTCTATTTCTGAAAAATCAGCCATTGAAAGCTGTATGGGATCACCATGAGTTAGAGTCAACTCAATGACAACTGGTTGATTTATTTTGATTGTACATCTACCAAATACTGGTGCACACCATAATGTGTCTCATTTGTTTGAAAGTCAGTTTTATATCCTACTTCTGATAGTCACGAAAGGACGTTAATTTGGCCTTGGGTGTTGAGTTTTTCTCTTTTTGCAGCCCTTTCCTTTAGTTTCCTCTTCCCGGTGGTTGGTAAAAAGAGGTGAATTGACGGCCTTTGTAGAGGACACCGTGCTTTTCTCAAAAAGGACATCCAAACAGCAAGTCTACTTCTTTCTCTTTAACGACGTCCTCATCATCACCAAGAAGAAGAGGTAAGCCTTTCTCTGGTGTTGCTGGTTATGCATCCCAGTTTTAAAGCCGTGTGATTCCAGTGCCTCTCGGCGGTAATCTCCCTTGAAAAGCTTGAGATGTTAGATGTATAGCATCTGTGTTTTGCTTTCACTTATAACTATCATACAAGCACAACTTAAAACATCATCATCATCGTCATTCTAGCCCACCTCACAACGGGAGGGGGTCTACTACTACTGAGCTTTGACTGTCTGCAGAGTACTGTTCTAATCGTGTTACACCTTGATGGCACTCATTTCTCATGACTTCCCTGGGGAAGGAGGTATTATGCCCAGTCAGTGTTTTTAAACTTGCTTCTGCCATAGAACCTTTGTATACAACAGGTAGCAGTTGCTCTGATTGAGGACAGGCTGGGGAGCAACGTCTAGGGCTTCTTGTGGCTTAACTTAAAATCCATTGCTCTTAATGATTGTAAGTCTAAAAGTTTCCCCATGACTGGGAGGCGTTAGCTGTACTCCCTTCTGAAGGGAATAAACTTAGGTCAGTTGGTGGGCAAAGTGTGTGTTCTTCTTACTTCAGAAGTCTGGTGATGTATTCCCGTCCAGCTCGAGGGAGATGTCCAGGAGAAAGACTGGAGAAGGCCTTTCTTTGCAGTATTTGTTCTCTCCAGCCGCTCTCACTCTTACACACACACACACACACACGCACACACGCACGCACGCACACTTTCACCCCTCCACCCTGCCTTTCTCTAGGGACCTTTCTTTAGTAAATGTACTCAGTATATATAGGCTTGGAAAATGTTTTCCTGCTGGTCCTATATACATATTCCACCTTTCCTAGAATATGAGCTTGGAGTGAAAACACAAATCTGTAGTGTGCTATTTCCGCGTATGGCGGAAGTGATGGTGAGCTGAGCTGATGGCATATGATGAGGGCAGGGTTAGCTCATGAGGCACAGTTTCGGCAAAGTGAAGAGAATTGGAGAAACAGACCTCCATGAAAATACAAAAGAAATGTCCAAGTTTACCGTGAAATATTTATTTAAATGCTACTTCTGAGTTGCTGTTTTTTTTGCTTAGAAAGTCTCACTAAATTGAAATAGAGGTGGAGCTTTTACTTTTTGTGCCTTTTAATCAGACCATATTATGAATTATTTCAGACATTTGGCCGTCTAGCTGAAATGGAAACTTTGTCTGGTCTACCATGAAAAGTCATTGTGTAAATCTGACTGTGATAAAGACTTAAAGATGATGATAATGATTTTTCATAATTAGGGAAATAATGTTTTCATATCTCCAAGGAGTAATTATTTCTCATACCTGGGGCAATTTAAATAGCTCCAGTAGCTAAGGAAGTTTAATAAATAAAGATTGGAGAAGAATTACAATTTTTGTGTTTATCTGTTTTATTGATTTCCTATGAGACAGCATGCTTCCTTGGTTCTTTTGGAGATGTTTTGTTTTTCAGGGAGTCATTATATACGTTTCTTCAAATGCCAGAACTCTTGACTTTTAACATCTTCCGGCAGTTGAAATATTTGTTCTGTCTCGCTGGACCAAATGCTTTAACTAAACTTTTGATTTTAATGATAAACTGTACATCGGCGGCACTAAGACAGTTTTAAACGCAAATGTAGTTTCGATTACGATGTCTTCAGTGACGTTGATGGAAACATTGAGGGTACTTCAGACAGCACAGGGCAACTTTTCTCATGAACTTGTACAGAGCTACCCAATAAATAGAGACTTCGGAAGTTAGAGTTAAGGTGTATGCTAGTCTACTTAGCTGCATTCGTTTTCCTCCAAGGGACGTTTTGCCGTTATCTTGAATGTCAGTTTGCTAGCTATGTCAGGTATCCTAGCTATTCCAGGTATATCTAAACTTGTATCATTAATAAAAGAAAGAGCCGGATATTCAGCTCCAGTTGAGAAGGCAACCCTGAGTACCTGATTTTGCCTTTACCAAAATTTGGGATTTACTTGCTCTTACCAAGTCACTCACCATTATTTCTAGAGCACTCTTAACTCGGGGAATAACGTTGGAGGCCCAAGTCGTTTATGACCTGAGTATGTGGAGAGGGTGACAGGCAGACCACCGACAGTTGATTAACTGGCTGGGTTAAAAATGTACAGTATGCACAGCCGTATTTACATGACCGATTCAAGGAGGCAACTGCAAATGCTTCACATGCCAGAGGCAACAGTGAGGAGATGCAATAGCTTTGAGCAAGGCAGTAATTTAGGCTTGGCTATGGTGTACAGATAAGGGATAATTACCTGTACCAGCTCTTTAGGACTGATCCAGCTACCCACTGCCTAATTGTAATTCCAGGGTTGAGTCAGGGAGCTTATCTGCTGGGCCTCCAGTGGTTTTCAGCTTCAGGGAGGCTTCCCAGCTACTGGGAGAGGCTGCTCGGGAGGACTTTTACCCATCCTTCCCAGAGTCACCGCTGGTTTATGCTGAGCCCGTTCGGGATTGCTGGGTGTGTGGCCAGCTCAGCTCTGCAGGGCGTGAGGTACTGCTAGCGCTTACAGGGCTGACCTTGGTTAGTGGCCACAGGGCTGTCTTCCAGGCCAAGAATCTTCACCTTTTTCGATTATCAGGAGGAGGTTTAAAGTTTTCAGGCGCTCTGGGCTGCTTGTGAGTCACCGTATTAATACTCTGGCCTGCTACCACATTTCAAACAGATACATGGCCAGTTTGACTACTTTGGATGAGAAAGTGAATTCTGTGGTATTTGAAGCTTTCACCGCAGGGCACGTGGCTAGTACTAGATCAGGGCTTTCATCTGGCATTGTTGACATGGGGACCGGATAATTGTTCGTTGTGGGGGCTGTCCTACACATTGTAGGATGTTTAGCAGCACCCTTGGCCTGGACCCACTATCTCCCAGTAGCACGCGTCTGTCAGTTTGTCGTACTGTGGGGCTTGCGTGTTGCTGTGATGCTGGAAGCTGTGCCACCGGTATTCAAATACCGGCAAGGTTGTCCATGGTGGACAGCTTTCAGCTGAGCTTCCAGACTAAGACAGACTAGGAGGAAGGACCTGGCGGTCTAATTCTGAAAAAAGTTAGCCAGTGAAAACCTTATAAATCACAGCAGACCATTGTATTACAGTGAAACATGCAAAGACTTGGACTTAGAAAACCAAACAGGAAGAACATGCTCGGCATTTCTCAGGCTGAAAGAACTGAAGGAAAAATTCAAGGCTCAAGTTGCAATATTGAAGGATTCTGTGGGGAAAATACTAAACCATGCAGGAAACATCAAAAGAAGATGGAAGGAATACGCCCGAGTTACTGTACCAAAAGAATTGGTTGACGTTCATCCATATCAGGAGGTAGCATATGATCAAGAACCAATGGTACCGAAGGAAGAAGTCCAAGCTTCACTGAAGGCATTGGTGAAAAACAAGGCTGCGGGAATTGATGGAATATCAGTTTAGATGTTTCAGCAAACACATGCAGCACTGGAAGTGCTCATTCGTCCATGCCAAGAAATTTGGAAGACAGCTACCTGGCCAACCAACTGGAAGAGATCCATATTTATGCCTATTCCAAAGAAAGGTGATCCAACCAAATGCGGAAATTATAGAAAAATATCATTAATATCACATGCAAGTAAATTTTTGCTGGCGATCACTCAAGAGCGGTTGCAGCAGTACATTGACAGGGAACTGCCAGAAATTCAAGCTGGATTCAGAAGAGGATGTGGAACCAGGGATATCATTGCTGATGTCAAATCAATCCTGGCTGAAAGAGAATACCAGAAAGATGTTTACTTGTGTTTTACTGACTATGCAAAGGCATTCGACTATGTGGATCATAACAAATTATGGATAACATTGCGAAGAATGGGAATTCCAGAACACTTAATTGTGCTCAGGAGGAACCTGTACGTAGATCAAGAGGCAGTCGTTCAAATGGAACAAGGGGTTACTTCATGGTTTAACGTCGGGAAAGGTGTGCATCAGGGTTGTATCCTTTCACCATACCTATTCAATCTGTATGCTGAGCAAATAATCTGAGAAGCTGGACTATACGAAGAACAGGGCATCAGGATTGGAGGAAGACGCATTAACAACCTGCGATATGCAGATGACACAACCCTGCTTGCTGAAAATGAAGAGGACTTGAAGCACTTACTGATGAAGATCAAAAGACAGCAGCCTTCAGTATGGATTACACCTCAACGTAAAGAAAACAAAAATCCTCACAACTGGACCAATAAACAACATCATGAAAAACAGAGAAAAGATTGAAGTTGTCAAGGATTTCATTTTACTTGGATCCACAGTCAACACCCATGGAAGAAGTGGCAGTCAAGAAATCAAACGATGCATTTCATTGGGCAAATCTGCTGCAAAAAATCTCTTTAAAGTTTTAAAAAGCAAAGATGTCACTTTAAGGACTAAGGTGCTCCTGACCCAAGCCATGGTATAAGCTGGACGATGAATAAGGAAGACTGAAGAAGAACTGATGCCTTTCAATTAAGGTGTTGGCCAAGAATATTGAATATACCATGGACTGCCAAAGGAATGAACAAATCTGTCTTGGAAGAAGTACAGCCAGAATGCTCCTTAGAAGCAAGGATGGCAAGACTACATCTGACATACTTTGGACATGTTATCAGGAGGGATCATTCCCTGGAGAAGGACATCATACTTGGTAAAGTAGAGGGCCAGCAAAAAACAGGAAGACCCTCAAGGATATGGATTGACACTGTGGCTGCAACAATGGGCTAACGCCTAACAATGACTGTGAGGATGGCACAGAACTGGGGAGTGTTTAGTTCTGTTGTAGGTAGGGACGCTATGAGTCAGAATCAACGTGTAGGTGCCTTTTTGCCCCCACTAGCCCAGATGTGCCCTTCTGCACATTTAAAGCGCACAGATAAGTGGGCCTGGTCTAGGTGATGGGCGCAATATGAAAGAATGCTGAGGTCTAGTCTAGTTATCTGTAACAGTAAATGAAATCATGCCTTGATTTGTTCCTTTCATTCTTCTCCTCGGTCTTCTG